TATATGCTTTTGGTACATCTTTTTATATGGTAAAGTCTTATCTGAAAAGAGTCATATGACTCAAAAAGAGTATAGTTAATTGTAGCAAGTGCTGTTTTCAGACACATTTGTAAATGCTTTGGCTTTCTCTCTCCCCTTCCTTGGCAATAGTCTGAGTAATACAAATGTATAAATGAAAATAGCTTTTCATGCTTTACGACATCAGGGATTATCTTCATTTCTCTGCAGTACCAAAAAAATATTTTGTGAACATGTAAACAGCTAGTTTCTTATTTATATACTTTAAAATTATTAGATATCGTTCACTAATTACTTTTAATGGATTTAATAGTGGGATTTCAGCAACTGATCCTACTTTGTGTGTACTGTGCGCTATAAGTATCAGACAGACACACTGCAAATTTCTTATGCCAGGGGGTTAACAACCTTGGTTGCAGCCTTTTTTGGAACATACGGTATAGGTGTCTTTTAAGGCAAGACAAAGTTTATACACAGAGGTGATGTTTGTTATAATATAGCTGGAAAAGGTGGATAAACTGTACTTTGTATAGGGCTTACCCTACAAAAGAGCTAGCCTTACATCACACAAAATATAGTCATGGGACTATTTATAAAACCCAGCTGCCAGTCTGGTTTGCAATTTAACCTACAAAGTGCATTAAAATGAAAATAATTAATTGATGCCTTTGCCATGCCTGAATTTACTCATTTGTTCATGTGGTACCACAGAAATATGAGTTATAATTGGCAGCCCAGCTGTCCATGGCTGGGAAAGGAAGTTAATCTGCCACCAGGCTCTTCTCTCAGGTTAAGATATTCAACAGGCCACTAAAGTGGATAATCTTTATTCGCTCTGATATTTTCATCTTAAGTTTAGCTGATGAAGCCTTTTTATGGTGTTTCATTTCATTGCATATCTTCCTTTATCTGCATGTTGCAACTTGTATAATGTTCATATTGTCTGAGGTTTTCTGATAGAGGACCTTCTCGTCACTATGGCCTGTGAAATATTTTGTCTCCCACACGATAATAAACCCTTTTTTATCTCTCTGGGTATTGCTGTTACTCCTATTAATTTATACAAGTACTTTTTCTTGTAATGCTTTTTTCTCATTTGAAATAAATTGCTTTGGGTTTCTTTGCTTTAGATACATAGGCCAGGGAAACTAATATCATTATCTGGATTTCCTTTAAACTAAAAATACTGAATTATTTTTTCTTTTTTCTCCTGAAGGATTTTTTTCAGTCTTTAGTTGAACAGCTAACATGATTTTGTGAACTGGAGCTGTTAATATAAGTCTCAGGTTTTACAGTGACTGTTTTGTCACTTGTCCCCATGCAAAGCTGCTGTAGGTACTGAAGAAAGACACTTCTCCATGCTTGAGTTGCTGATTTCTACCAGGTCTTATGTGAAAGTGCATGGACCACCTTAGGCACGATACCAGTGTTACCAAGAACTGTTTCCTCACCTTTTTCTTTTAACACATGCCTCTTCTTGAAAGCCAAAGGTTGAAGTTCAGTTTATTGCTTTGGTTTGGCTTTGAGGGCTGAGCATTGTCCTACAGTCCTTGAGGAGGCAGAAGAGGAACATGGTAAAGATGCAGGTGTCTGTCTTGGGATTATTTACCTTTGGTGACAGTTGTTCCAAAATTGCTTAAGAATGCTGGGGCAGACAAGGATTCCTGCACATAATAGTGTTGTGATAGTACTAAGGGTATTTACACCCACCTACAGACACCTTTCCTTCCTGCAATTGCAGTGCCCAGCAAGCCACTCTGTTACTGGGCAACTGGTAGTCATTTACAAAGCTGAACAATAGAAACTGAAAAGAAGTCAAAGAAAAATATACCAGAATTGGGTTAAGGTGATTAAAATTGCACAGCTCAATATCTTGCTTTATTTTCATGGGGAAATATGTCATCTTTGCTAGGCAATGCAGTGAAGACTGTATTGCTTATAGGAAACTTTGCAGAATAAGGTTTGCTGTGACTGGAATTTATCAATATTTATGATGGCCTGTATTAACTTATTAATTGCATCTTTTGTGTCAGTCAGTCCAACTCAGAATAATATATTTTAAAGTGCTGGTGGAAAGGAACCTGCAAAGGAAATATTGTGGAGAATGAAACGCTCCAGAAAATAAAAAAAAGTCATAACAATATATTCAGGCAAAGTAGAAGTGCTCCCATGGCATCCATTTCTTACTCACCTGGTGTCTTGCTCCATTTCAATATGATAATACCTGGAAAGGAAATGAAATGCGTCAGCACATGTAACTTACCAGTGTATCACTGTAACCTCTGAGAATTATATAGAATTAAGCTAATTTTCCCAAGTGTAATTTGGAACAAAATAAAATTTTAGAATGATGTTATAATTTAGCATTGGAAATAAATGTTTCAAAAACCTTCTATGGAACAGCCACAAGATGTGCTACCTTTAAAAGTGAGAGTAAACATAGGTAATCATTCATTTTCAAGCAGGATGAACCAAAATTAATTGCTATCATTTAGTATAGAAATCCACTCTGCTTGGAAGATTATTAAGAAATCGGATTTAGGCATTTTCACTCTATCAACTATTTACTGTGATGTGGCCTAATTTAAATTCTTTGTGATCAACAGTTAGGTACAATGATTCGCTTAGGGTTTGTACCAGCTTAATATAGGGGCTAGTCACAGAAGATATTAGATAGTACAGATTGTATCTTGATCTGCCAGGTGTGCAGTGACCTCAGACACATATGAAGTATTATCATAAGAGGAAATATCTTTCCTGTTGTTAAAATCATGACTGCCAGTTCACTGAAGCCATCACCGTGTACGGCAAAGATATTCATGCTTTTTTCAGCAGTGATATCTTTTACTAGACCAGCTAGCCTTGTTGGAAGAAGTAGCCAGTCTTTCAGACACACAATCTCTCCTTCAGGTCTGAAAAAGCACCCAAAAGCTTTCAAGCTAAGTACAAGTTCAGACCACTTGTTCTAAGCTTTGTGGGAGAGGAACCAGCTGAAGCACCAACTGCCTGAGCTAAAGGGTGGTTAGTGCCTATGGAGCAAAGCGGGCATTAGGGCATCAGAGAGCTGGTAAGTGGTTCCTGGGGGACTGAGAAGCAGGTGTTTAATACCTTGTGGATGGTAAATTGGTTAGTAGAAGGAAGAAGACAATCATGAATAGGATCTCGAATCACTGGTTTTGATGGCCCTTTAAGATCTACAAATTTTAGTTTTACATGCTCATCCTTAAAGCGTACTTTGCATATGTCTATTCGGATTTCTTTTTGGTTTCAGTTTACAGCAGCCTGAATGACAACAGGCAACTTAGGATGAGTCATGTTTTCCAGCAAATGCCCAGGACACTATTGCTTTGAAAACTGCTATTTTGCATGAGTTATTTACTGAAGAAGTCAAAAGATGGGAGTGAGAGGACAGATGATAGGGGGCATTTCTGGAGAAGGATCTGGATGGTTTTTATTACTTGGTAGTTACACAACCACTTTTATCAGTATTTCCACCTCTAACTGATAATCTGCTAAATCTTTTGGTTTGTGTGAGTATGTGTTCATTCCTTCTCCATATGACATTTATATAACACTTCCCCCACCAGACACTGGCTGCCTCCCAACTGTTTTCCTAACTTTTGTGGTTTATAAAAGGTGTTCAGTTTTATTCCACAAGAGACTGTGCCTAATTTTTTAACACCATTCTTAAACTTCCTTTCATCCCCAGACATTTCTCCTGGTCCTTTGCACTGCTCTTCCCTGCAGTTCTCTGGCTACTACATCAGAGTCAAGACACACTGTATAGCTAACATTCAGTCTTAACATTCACTCTTTTTCTAAGCTTAATCTTCAGGCAAAGAGCAAATAGGGCTGCCTGTGCTGTTGTGATCTAATGAGCTCCCTCGCACAGAACAGAGAACCTCTGCCATTAATGTGGCTTCACATAGACACATTCAAGGTGGTTTGTGCTGAAGCATTTTCTCTGCTGGGTTATTCGTACACAACAGAAATCTTCACAGGGATCATGAATGCCTATAAAGAGTGTTACTGAATCTTCTCACTGCACAGGCACTGGAGGGCATGCTGACAGCCCTACAGCTGCAATTTTGCAGTTTTCTGTGGACTGGTACAAACACCCCACCTAGGTGGGCTTCTCAGGGAGTGCCCATATTTTGGACTGAATATTTCTGTTCAATGACCTGCTGGAATTTAGCAAACTTTTTTTCTTACTAGGTTCAACTTCTGGATACGCTGCTACAACCAGAGGTTTGCAGAAGACCAAATCAAATGAGCAGCACTATTTCTGAGTGACTTTTGTTACAAATGTGACTCACAGCAGCACAGATCTTAATCTTCCCAAAAAGGGAAGGAGGAGCCACCTGGAACATCTGTGCTCCAGGTGACACTGAATGACCTAAGATGATCACCATGCTGGGGAGGCAAGGATGTCTCCCAACAGCATTGTGTAATATTTGTGTATATTCATAGCGGAAAAAGAACTTATTTCCATATCTAGACCAGTACCCCACCTCATTTTGGTTATTTTCCTGACAGATTGTCTAACCCATAGTAGCTTTGTTAGCAACTGTGTTAGCAAGCTACTGCAGTTTTCTGTTAACATAATATGGGCAATGTTTCTGCCTGTGGGTTTCCTTTTGTTCTTAAAATACCTGTAAACCTAGCTTTTGGCTTCAAAAGATCACAGCACCTACATCAGAGTGCTGTGATTGGGTGCTGCCCACAGGGAATACTACCCTGTGTTGAACATAGTTTATTTCCCAACACTGTGGATTTCTGATGGGTTAAAGAAAGCAGGGTATGAATCATTCAAAGATTTCCAATATAAGCACTATCCAATAAATACCCTTCCCCCACTTGGAAAGTCTCTGGCCAAATACTGTCCCTCTGCTCCAGCTCCTCCTTACTGCCTCTCCCCATTTCCGGATGGGTCCTGGCCCCCAGCCCTTATCTCCTCCAGCCCCTGGGCTGTTTACAGAGCGCAGTTATAAAGAGGCTGACCCAGCAGAGAGTGGAGGGGAATTACAAGGTGCAGGAAAACAGCAGCACCGGGCCAGACTGGGCGTCTGCTTGACTCACCACGACCTGCTCTGCACCATGGAGAAGGACAGGCTGCCCAGCAAACCAAACATCTTTCTCCTTCTTCTCTTCTTCCTTCCTGGAAATACCTCTCCCACCCCAGAACCGTAAGCTACACATGTGGAGGGGGAGGGAGGTCTTAGTGCTCCTTTTTTTCCTTCATTTTTCTTCCTGTCAAACAGCTGTGACTGTTTCTTCCACTGCTGCCCTGCATCCCACTACTAGCCAAGCCCTGAGCTTCCTGCACAGCTTTGCCAGTGCTCCCCAATCCCACCCTGCAACCCCCTGGTTGTCCAGCCCTGGGACCCCCCCCAGCTCTGCCAGTGCCCACACTCCTGCCCTGCAGCTGCCTGCTAGTCCAGCCCTGGATCCTCACAACATCTTTGCCTAAGTATATTCCTGCCTAGAAACCTTCAGGTGCCTGGGGTTTTGTGGGCATGATGCCCGAATCCATGTACTTACCTGTTCTGTTGTATCCTTGCTTCAATCACTGCGTTATTTCTCCCTGTTCTCCTGTTGCTTTCAAGCCAGTTTGCTCCCCTTTCTCTTGTTTCTTTCAAGCCAGTTTGTTTCCCTTGGCAGCATCAGATGTACTTGTTCCCAAAGAGGATCTGTGACCTAGATTCTCTTCCTCTGGTGTGGAGCATGGCACTGGCACCCTCCCCTGGGGCATCCACCCCAGGGCTCTGCAGACCAGCAGCATGGCTGCAGTGCCCACTCTGCTGAGGGCCCCGAGGAGAGGGGCAGCCCGGCATGGCACGGGCAGACTGGAGACTGGCATCCCCACCCCAGCCTCGCCTACCAGAGAGGATTGCTCCGGAGCCTCTAGTCTGGATGGGAGCAGCCTCCCTCTTCAGACCCTGGCTGCTGTCACACGCTGTGCCGCTTGCTGTGCTGACAGAAGCACAGTTCTCACTGCCGCGGGTCTCATAATGCTTGCTACAGAGATTTCACAAGCACCGCAGTAGTGCTAGCAGCGGTAGCAAAAGGTGCAGTGCTACTTCGGCCGCTTACTCTGTGGTCAGAGGTGAACTGGTGACTGGCTCAGCCTGAAGGACCTTTGACTTGCACTGTACCATCAACCTCCTGTTCATCTGCCCCGTGTGGGTGCTTCAGGGGCAGATCAGCCAGCCAAGCCCGCTTTAGGGTCCGGCTGAGCTCTCTGGTCTCCCTACAGTAATCTGATGTAATTAAGGTTAAGTAATCTTAATTCATTGCTGCTTAAAATCAGGGGGAAAGGGGATGAATCTGTACTGCTTAGTCCTCTCCTCCTGTAAGCAACATGCTGCTCTTTATCCCTGACCTGAGCACAATTTGAGGGGGAGAGGAGGAAGGGCTCAGAGAGGTCGGGGAGAGAGGGGTGTAGTTGGGATCCACAGAATGAAGATAGGATCCCAGTAAACAGCTGGGGAGCAGGGAGGCCGTGGAGTCTGGGCAGTGAATTGCTAGGTAGGTGTGAGGGTAGTGGTTCTGTTTTAAGTGCTGCAGGGTAGATCAGATGCTGTGTATAATGCAGAAGGGAAGCCGCCCTTGAACTGAAGACAAAATGAAGCTTCCAACCAAGGCTTGCTTCCTGTGCCCATCACAGGTAGGGAGATAGCTTCTTTGAGCAGCAGCTGTTGCTGCTGTTTCTGTTTCAGATGTGGCCAGCTGCACAGGAAACACAATTAAGGTTCAGAATATATATCAGAAAAAAATGTATTCACCAAGTTAGTGCAGCACTGGAACAGGTGACCCAGAGAGATGGTGGAAACTCCATCTATGGGGTCCTTTGCAACAGTCCTGTTCCAGGAGAGAAGCTGGGCTTGAGACATCCAGAGATCCCTTGCAACCAAAAATTTTATGCAACTGTAAGATACTGACAGCAACATTTTTTTTTTTTTTTTCTTGTTCTGGATCTGTTCTGGAGTAATTCAATAGGAGGTATCATTCTCCTATTCTGATACATGGTTGTGCATGCCAGCTACTTTACAATGCAGTGTACATGCTTGGGAATATACTGCATATAGTCAGAAATGCAAGGTCATGAATAGGCAGGTGTGGATATGGACTGATGGAGCTGATGAAATTCACTGGCTTCTTTGGTTGGGTGTTTGTTCCAGGAAGTAGCTGAGAGTCAATACACATACATTAGTCTGCCTTAAGCTAGAGTATTACCTTCTATATATAGACAAACTCACCATTTTTGGCTCAGCCACTTTCTCTAGGGTCTCCTATCCCTCCTTGTTGCCTACTTCTGCCAGAGTCACTGCCTCTGTTTTCAGAACAGTTTGTTGCATGCAGGGAGGCTGCCGAGGTCTCTTGTGGCAGCCCAGGTGCTTTTTGTCCTGGAATGTCTGTACATGGACTTTGTGACCCGAGTTATTTAAAGCCCTAAGAGTACTTTAATTCACCTAGCTCTTTTCACCAACACATCCCAAAACAGCTAAAAGGAGGTCTAGAAACAGCATATTTTATAACCTTGTAGCAGAGGCAGGGAAGGTGGTGTAGGGGGAAGTTCTGCGCGTTGGCCAAAATTTCAGCAGAACAGTGAACAGGAAGAGGAATGAGGCCAATTTCCCCACGAACTAGGTCACGCTGTCCCTTCAGTAGACTGGACGTTACAGTCAGATCACCAGTGCCACTGACGGGGGGCAGGGGAATGAGATTAGGGGAAGCAGGCACGGTGTGAAGCTGTGGTGAGAAGGCTGTGGAGGAAGAGGAGCGCTGGAGCAAGCAGATAGTCACAAGCTGGAAGTCGCTCCTTGGGTGGCTGGAGCTCCCTCCTTTCACTGCTTCTGAAGCAGCACGCGCTGACTGGAGTTGCTAGCTGGCTCCTCGCCACACTTTATCCCATTGCCTGGTTGTGAGGGAAATGGAGGTACTGCCTGGGTCCCACTGCATCTACAGTAGCTTTGGGACTTCCCAAAAGCTCAGAGCCCAGGCAATAATGTAGCTCTGGACAGGCCAAGCTATCTCTTTCCCCAGAACTGGCACCATCTGGCAAGGTGCACATTAGCCTTCCCCAGTGGAGGGCCCATGGAAAAATGGTATGAGCAGTCCTGACCACAGGTTGCCTCTTATGCATACAGTGGTTAATATACCCTGCAGACTGAATTGCCACCAGAACCTCCTGCTGCTGCATATGGATAGCCTGAATGTGCACAGGGAAAAAGGAATACCGGGTCTATAAAAATGGTCCAGCATCAGACCAGGGGACTACAATAGCTCTGTATTCTGCCTGTGTTGGTGGCCAGTCATAGGTGCTGAGCGACAGAGTAGAGGAGCAAGGCAAGTACTGTGGAAATGAGTTTCCCATCTGCTATAGGCTTATGGAGCCTCTATCAGAGGTTCAAGGTCTTACTGTGGCAGGAATTAAACCTGTGCCACTATGTTTTCTAGCCATTTCTGGGCAATTAATTTACCCAGGACATTTTTTAAAATCTTCATATCAGGAGTAGCTGATCTTCTTGCCCCTGTGAGCCTCATACTAAATTTTATGTAGCTGGTGGCATAGTGCAGATACCATATGCTTTGGAGAGTTACTGGCAGGTAGGGAGCCACAGCTTCTTTTAAGGGCCTGCACTTGGCTGGACACACAGGTAAGGCCCTAGTTATCCAAATCGGTGGCACCTGCTGGCTCCTTTTGTTCCTCACCCAGGAAAGGACAGTCAGCTGCTGTCTATCACCTGATGCAGCCTGGGTGGATGTGCCCTTCCTGGACTGCTTGCGAGCACCAGAAGGCTCAAGAGCCACAAGCTGGCCATACCAGTATTGAACATTTAGACTTTACAGCATCTGGTAGCATTAAATTCCTCCATTTAATTTTGTAACAAAGTTTCTGCTTCCTTCTATTTTTTTCTAAGCCAGCTGCTTAATATTTTCACCTGGTGTTGTTTAGTATACATGTCATCACAGGTGATGAACCAACTGTACTTTCTTTCGTGCACATCGTGACTTTATAGCTTTGTCATGCCTTTTTTCAGGCTGAAGAGTCCTAATCTATGTAGTGTCTCCTCCTATGGAAATCATTCCAGATTTCAGATCACCTCTGCCATCTTTCACTGAATCTTTTCTGCTAAATCAATTTTTTAAATGGGGAGCAAACCAGCACGCCATATGTGAGATGTGGGAGTACCTTACAATTATACAATGGCAAAACAATGTGCTCTCATTTGTCTTCTGTTTCTTTCTGAACACTTCCCACAGTCCATTTGTTACTTATCATTGAATGAGAATTTTCCAAGAGTGATCAACAGTGCTCATGTCTGAGTGGTAATAGCCCATTTAGTGATACAGCACATACACAATAGCATATATACTGTTGGGCTAATTTTTTCTTGTTTTACTGATTATTTTCCCTTTATGAAGAGTTCATTTGCCATTTTTGCTACACAGTCCCACCATATGACAAAAGTTTTCCACAAATATGTAAGTCAGTTTTAGGTGTTTTCTTACCCTGGACAATTATCAGAAAATTGTACTTCCCAGATCATTTGGAAGTGTACTGAACAACAGGGGTCCCAACACAACAGGCTCTGGAGAATTTCACTAGTTCCTACCCTTTGTGTTTTATCTTTTAACCAGTTAATCCAGGTCAGAATTAATAATCTGATTTATTAGTAAAAAATTAGTAAAATGATCCCTTTTATTGGATGGCAGCTTAGTTTAAGGGTCTTTTGTGAGAGACCTTCATCAAAAGCTCTTTGAAGATGCAAGTGCACTTGTGTTGCAATAAACCAGTACTCTCTGAAATCCTTGTGTGCTCATCTTAATAAGGTCCCAAACTGCAAGCACTCACATTTCTGCTCAGCATGAGAAGGATTTGGAAACCTGGATAGGCAAAGACAGGAGCAGCCAGACAAGTAGGTGTTTTTTTCAACCCTAAAACTGCTGAATTTTCAACCTTTTTTAGCTAATGCCTTTGAGTCTCAATAGGAGATTGTGGGATATACAAAAATCAATTAACAGCCTGGAACCTTTCACACCGTCCTTACTCCCTGCTGTGAAGCCGAACAAAACATCCTTTGTAAAGGACTCTCTATTAGCATAGAAATTGTTCCTTCCACTGCAAGCATTTTCCTGCTTTTAGGCTAATTAGTTAGGCAGTTTAATATGTATAAACCCAAAATAAACTGAATGCTCATGTGTATATGCACTGCAATTCACAGGGGTAGTAATGGATTAGGCATGCTGATTTGTTAATTTCCTTTCACTTAATACTGTTTCCTTAAAACCGTTTCACATTTCTGATCCTTCTGATTCTTTCTTCCCTCTCTTCTTAGGCAGTATATGGTGCTACTGCCCTTCCTGATACACAGTGATTCTTCTGAGAAAGTCTGTGTTCAGCTGACCCACCTGAATGAGTCTGTGACGCTGAGTGCCACACTCGAGTATCAAGGGGTAAACAGGAGCTTGATTGATGATGTGGTGTCAGAGAAGGACATGTTCACCTGCATCCCTTTCTCTGTGAGTATCTCATCCTTGTGGGATGATCCCTTGTGTTTATTGATGTGGCACAGTACATGTAAACAGTCCAGAAATGAGAAATAAGACACGTTGCAATCAGAGACTTCTAAGCTAAGCCAAACAAAAAATTAATTTGATGTGGAAAATTGACTGCCGTAGCCTTATGAGGAATAATTTTCCACCATTATCAAATTCTTCCACCATTATCAAATTCTGTGGCCCACATGATATTTCTGTGCATGCAGGGCTTAGAGAACTCTTTTGGGATCTTTCACCCTAGAATTTTGACTGACAGAACATACCCCACGTTTGTTTGGTCTTTGTAAGCCTCAGAGGAAAAACAGCAAAGTAGAATGAGAACCGTAGCAGCTGGGGAACAGTTAAAGACAGTGAGGTCCATGACGTCATTTGTCTCCTGGAGCTTATTCATGATTGTTTCCTGCAGAGGGCTGGTTGGTGTGTAATGTAAGCAACTGGTCCCACCCCCTAAATAATGAATCTGGGTTGATTTCCATTTTGATAAATCATAGGATGGAACAAGATCAGATTCAGTATTTCTCTAAGGAAAGTGTATAAATGAAGGAAGGGAAAAGGCTTCCAGTATTGAAAGGAAAGGAAGAGGAAGCATGGAGAAAACTCAAGGAAATGGAGAAGATCTATCAATGCAACAATTCCCAAAGGAACAAGGAGATTTTCTTGAGACAGAGGAGACAAGCCCTCCAAGTTCATATCAGAAAATCATGTTTTTCTCTTGCTTCCAGCACTAAGTCTTTGGTGTCCATTTAGGGAACTTTCAGACCTAGCTAATTCTCCATCTTTCAAAGGCTCAGTGCAATGGGGTGAATGAGTAAAGCGTTATCCTCTTCATTTTCCTTAGCTTCCAAAAGCCAATAGCGCATCAGTGGCATTTCTCACTGTGATGGTGAAGGGGGCGACACTGCAGTTCAGGAGCCGCAAGTCGGTGCTGGTCCAGAATTCTGAAAGCCTGGTCTTCGTCCAGACGGACAAACCCATCTACAAGCCCGGACAGACAGGTACAGGGAATTGGGCTGGTGTTGACTCTGACAGCAGAAAATCTTACGGGCTTCATTCCCCAGAGGCCCCATACTTTTGTTAAAGTTTTCAGACTTCTTCATGGGGGGAGTTAAAGCACTCAGTAAATCTTATTTCTGTCAGCTGAGATCTAGGACATGTGGTACCTTCATCATTCCTATTCTCCATCATCCAGGCACAGCATCTCAGCCAGATATAGGCACAGGCTCAGATTCATTGTATTCAACTAGAGGCACAAATCTGGGATGACTTCAAAGCATAGTCTCCCTTGGCCGCACCTGAATCAACAAAGCAGGACAGGCACTCCCAAGGGACAATATAGTTCAGCCAAGACCTGATTATCCTTCTAAATTTATCTGCCTTTCACCATCTGCAAGAGCAAGAGCCTGAAGTAATTGCTTCCATAACTTAGAGATCTCAATTCAGAGCCTGTTGATCCGTGGAATGAATCTGAGTTATAAATTGTTGAAATACTGACATTTCCTGGTAATGGCTACAAATTTAACAGTGGAATTTCCTTATTTTCCATTACACCCTTCAGTTCTGTTTCGGATCGTCTCTCTGGACAAAGACTTCAACCCGCTGAATGAGAAGGTAGAGCCATAATTCTTTGTTGTTAACCAGGAGGCTTAATTCCCAATTAACACCTGTACTGTCATCATCCAGAACCACTGAAGACAGCCTTTAAAGCATATGATCCTTTCTTACTCACAACACCCTTGACCCATTCCATATACTGTCCTGGGACACACTCCACCTGTCTCTGTTGACTGAGAAACATATCCCCTTTTTCAAAAGGATACAGATGTTTAAAACCAGATTTGCAAAGGAATGTATGCAGCTAAGCATGTAGGCAGGGATCTCACTATTGAAAAAAATGGGTGGGACAATTTGCCATTGAAAGTGGCAGATGTGCAGATGCTTCTGGCAGTGGGTGCAACCACATGCTTAGAGGCAGAGAGAGCAGCATGACAAAGACTTGGTTTTAAGGAACAGGACAGGTGTGTGAGTCCACCTGTTAGCTTATTTGGCAATCAGTTCCTCATGCAGACAAGTTCTTTGAAAACTCTTACTTCACATTTTCATACTGTGGTAAGACAAAAAGTTGGGACTCTGAAATATTATAGAAGAGATTCCCGTAACCATCAAGAGCTAAGGAAACAGAGCAAGTACAGAAACGGAAGAACCCAAAGGACTTCTTAGAAAGTTGTTCTTCTGCCCTTCTGTCCAAATCTGGAAATTACTTCCATCCATATGTGACTAATATTTCTAACGCTGATCTTCCTTTGTTCTTTCCCCACAGTTTCCATTTGTCTATGTTCAGGTGAGTGGATAACTACATGTCTATTATTTCAGCAGAATGTGCAGGCACAGAGGTAGTAGCCACCAGCAGTGGTGTTTTCAGGCTGAGGTGCAAGGAAAAAAACATGGGCACATGACCTCTTCCCTTTGTGTAAAGCAAGGCTGAGTTGTTGGGCATCAAAATAAGTTCCAACAATGGTTCTTTGACTGGGGAATATGCTGTAGGAACAAAATAGTTAATCAGTGCAAGCCATGCCGTGAACAGAATTACACTTGCCTAGAGATCATATCAGAATGGCTTATTCCATTTCCCAAGCAGAACTAAGATTTTCTGTCTGCCAAGTGTGGTTGAAACCACAGAACTGCATTAAACAAACTAGCAAAACTAAAGAAACAAAATTACGTAAGTAGACGTCCCCTATCTTCCCAAGCATGCCCTTTTTGTCTTTTTTTGTTTTTTAAACAGTTGAACTTCCATGACAGACAAAAGTTAATAGGAAGGATGTTTCTGTCAATGATTCAAGTACTCACTTTTTCAGCTGAGAAACCAGAATTTACAATTATTATCTGGGACATCTTCTAGTGGAAAACTGATGGGAAGGACCCAGCGATGGGCCCTGAAGCCATGATAGCAGCACAAACAGTGCCAAAATCAGTGTGCACAAATCTTAAGTTGGTTTGCGCGATTATGGGTCCTGTGCAGTTGGTCCTGGCATTGCTCCTTGCTGCTTGGGGTTGCTGTCTCCATTCTGCACCATCTCTCTCCAGAGCTGGGGGTGTTGTCTCAACAGAGGAGGCAGAAGGTGGGCCAGAAACAGGCCATGCTCCTCCTTTCTACCCTCCTGTCAGAGTTGTGTCACTCTCTCTTCCCCTCAGCAAACTTCTAGAACGGAGCTGCAGAGGTGATGGGCCACTGACAGTCTGTGAATATTTGGAGAAAGAAGAGCAAGAGAGCATGTGGTGTGGGACAGCAGGTGGAGGAGAGCATCTTAGAACTACCTTCTGCTGAGGCTCTCCCATGGTGTTGTAGAACAGGTCTACAATGAGATGATACTTGACTGAGTACAGGAATTTCGTGAAAGGAGCAAGAAGAAATAAATCCTACCCACTGTCTCCAGAAATCTCATATGCTTTTGCTTAACAAGCTGAATAATTTCATAACCTTTTTTTGTGTCAGTACCATGAAGGGCTTCAATTTTAAATCACTAGGAAGGCCATCCTGTGTTTTCAGCTCCAGCCGGTGAGGCATGGTGTTTGTCCATGCTGTTTAAGCCAGCTTATGTAGGCCTTGTCCTCCATCCCTACCATCACTTCTCACTTCCTTAATGCTCCTTCTCAGTCCAGCACTGCCCTTTGTTTGGCTTTCACAGATGTCTATGAGGCAGTTTTGTAGAGTGGGAAACTCATGTGGCAGCAAATTCACCATTTTTCTCTAGGGTATTTTTTTCAGCCAGATCAGATCTGCTAGTGCACTTTACCACATGCTTGCAAGAAATTTGGACTGGCTCAAAGGAAGGGGTGGCAGCAGTGAAGAAAGATGGCAACTTAAGGTCAGCAGTGCTAAGGAAATAAAAGTTCATCAGTCCATACCCTTAATGTCACTAATTGATCATAGTCAGCCACAAAGGCAGAAGTTAGTATGAGCCTATTATTTCTGAACTATTATCCTGATCTGTTGCTTCTGTCATTGAAAAAAAAAAAAACCCAAACCTTTCTGAGGAAAAACAAACTGACTTTCAGGCCCTCCCTATAAATACATCACAGAAATGGCAACAAGTTCACAAGCCCAGCTGTAAACATTTTCTTGAACTCCTCTTCCGAGGAAGCCCGGTGGTGTCCCTCAGAATAAGTGGTGAGCTTTTCAGCAGGGTTGAAACATGATGATGAAGAGGATTTGGTCAGAGCCGTGGGATGCATTTTACTGACTGTGTCTTCCTCCCTGGGTGCTTCTTGGGAAGAAGGCCCCCTCTTCTGCCCCCTGACCAGTGACCTCCAACTGGGGGATATCATCCACATCTCCTTTTCCCTAAGCCCTGAGATAAAATCTCAGTGAAGTAAATGCACACAGTCACATACCTTAAGTCTCATACCTATCTAGAGTAAATAGACTTTTGGTGACAACCAAGGTACAACACAAAGAGCAGGCAGAATATAAAAGACTGTAAACATTAACCATCCTGCTGAGGAGCCCGGAAAGGGTGCATCAAACTACACAGCAAACTACTGCATTGGTTCAGTGACTTCTACAAGAAATTTGGGGCTGAGCTGATGAATTTGGAGCACAGCCTATTGATAGTTTATAATGAGCAATACTCAGCTGTACTAGTGATGAGGTTTCAGCTTCAGCATTAGGAGTGGGAAGATACAAGAAGGGAGAGCTCTCATATGCACATATGTGGGGTATACTTTCTTCTGTTCCTGTCCTGTCTCCCCCACCCCATCACAAGCTTTGGACTCTTACACATGTACATTTCTCAGTCCCATACATAGATCAGGTGTCTCATTTCTCAGCAGATTATGCACTGGTATTCAGACAGTCTCTATTCCAGGCATGGAAATAAACCTTTTAGGAGGCTGTATAGCAAGTGAAGAAGACTGAAACTTCCCTCCTTTCTACCTGTGCTCCACTTACTCCTGCTGTTCATCTCTTTGTCTTGTTACCTTGCCAGTCTCTCTTTCCCAGCTTCCTGGCCCCATCCTTCTTAAATATGCAGGTAGAGCTGAAGGGGAGACAACACAGACCTCCAGGGTTGAAAAGCTTTCTGGCATGCTAGTTATGCAGAATTGACAGGTAAATGCTCACAGATCTTCACAGATTATTGAATAATTACAGCTAGGCATTTCCCAGCCGGGATGGGCTGGTAACCAGGCACTTCACTGCTCTGTCCCTGGGAGCCTCCTGTACTGTGTTGTGACCTTGAGTTATCCTCACCTGCAGGATCCCCAGAGGAACCGTGTGTACCAATGGCAAGGGGTGGAACTGGAGACCGGCCTTACGCAGCTCTCCTTCCCCCTCACCTCGGACCCCATCCAAGGCTCCTACAAAATAGTCGTGCAGAAGAGCTTCTCGTCCCATGTGGAGCACTCCTTCAGCGTGGAGGAATATGGTAAGGAGAGGAGGTATGGGCTGCAAGTGGGGCTGACAGCATTGCCTTTTACTGTGACCTCTTGATTTGGGGTTTCCTGGGAATGGCATGGAGAAGGGAGGGACTGAATATGTACACAATGGGGTTTGGAGGTGCTGACCCAGAAGGTGCTGGGTATCAGAGGTAGTTGCTCACTTTATGGCATCTTTGCAACCTGCCTGAGCTTGTATTTGCTCACAGGGCTCTTGGGAATGCAGGGTCTGACAGGCTTCCTGTGCATGGCTTGTGGCACCGATTTCAGCTGACTTTTAGTCATTTTTCAGTCCAGCAGCTTGCTGCAAGTAGCACTAGATGCAGAGTAAGAGATGACAATATTTTGATGACTTTGGCGACCCTGTTTTGCCTCTCTCATCATCTGCATCAGTCCCTTTCTCCACTTGCAGTCTGAAGAAGAACACTCCACAAATGCTACAAGCAGATGCAAACAGTCTGGTAGTAGAGACTGAGTAAGGAGAAATGTGCTGCCCCAGGGAGCACTCTAACCCCCAGTTCTGTAATAAAACTTCTCAGGTGTTTGTAGATGTGCACTCTGGCTAGGCTGTGTGCATTTGAGGAGGCTGCTTGGCCTGTGCTCCTCACTCCCAGGCTCCCCCCGGCTGTACATGGAGCCCAAATGACCCACTGCATTGCTCAGAACCTGCTGTTTCTGGAATATGCAGGGTACAGACCCAAAGAAGATCATCACTGGAGTCTACGGGAGCTGGCTTATTTGTTTCAAAGTCAGGCATGGTGGCTAGTATGAACATGGTGAATAATTTGAACAGAAACCAGGTTATAGGCTTCAGCCTGTCATGGTGACAGATGGGCTGTGCCTCCTCCCACAAAGATCATTCTGAACACCCCCCAAAATCAAAGATTTATGTCCTTTTCTTAGCCTCACACGAAACTCGTTTTTCTTTTATTTGTTCTTTGGTCTTATTCCCATGAATCTCCCCTGTTGCTAATTCTCTTACAGCCTTTTGAGGAAATGTGCCTTGGGGTTGAAGCACTGAGCTTTGCCCCCCATCCTAGAGGCAAATTTATGTCTAAACTGTATAACCCAGGGTTGCTTTCTAGTTCCTGGATCTGGGTTTGCACACTCCCTGCTCTTATTTCCTTGCACCGTGAAAAAAACCTCACATGCAGGCCATTACATGCTTCTGTCCAGTCCTGGGCTTGAGTAGTTGGGGGCTTAGGGTTGCAGGATGCAATATGGGAAGAAGGACGTAACTTAATACTCAGGAGAAAAATATGCCTTTTGCTTTCCACCCTTTATATGAGGCCTTGTTGCTTGTCCACTTGAAAATATAGACCTGAGAGTCTGTGGCTAGATTCCCTAGAAATGTCTGGACATGCAGGACAGTTTCACATGCTACATATTAGTGAGTCTAACAGCAGCTTGGGATCTCCAGAACAGTAAGAAACAGACAGAATCAATGATTCGATCCTTTTCAATGTGGTAAATGACACGGGTGGTGAATGTGCTACTCCAAGTCTTAGTTGCAAATTTGGTATTATGAAACATGGAACGCAACACACAGGGCCAGTGTGTCTTTCTGATTGGGCATATGTAAGGGATCTACACAGCTGTCTGCTGCCAATGGGATCACATAAGCAAACACTGCAAATGAGGGAAGGTAAGGGCTACAATCCTCCTTAAATTCCCTTTAAATCCAAAGCTGTAGTGAAGGCTGAGAAGACTTAGGGAAGGAGTAGCAGAGTTGTACTGCAGACCACATAGAGGTGATGGTTCGTATTAAGATGATTCTGGCTCTGTGTTTGGGTTGCTATGTAGTACACAGCTCTCCTTCACTCTTCTCATATCAGACTTTTCTCTCTCCCATCTAGTGCTGCCCAAATATGAGGTCCTGGTGAAGCTGCCCAAGATGATCACTATTAAGGACGTGGAGCTTCCAGTGTCCGTCTGCGGTCTGTGAGTCACAGAGCTGGAGTAAATCTCTCTCACTCATCCTTCACTCCTCCTTCACTCCTCCTTTCAGCTGAGGACCAAAAGAAGAGCTGGGGAAGACTTTTCATACTTTTCCCAGACATCTGGTGCAGGCTTGTTCCACCCTATCAAACCTCAGCCTGCTACTTGGCCTGAGCAGTCAAAGTGAAGGGGCTTCTCTATGTTCCTTAAAAGATGATGCCAAACCAATCCTCCCAGTTTACTGTGCATTTTCTCTTTCTGTCTGTACATTTCTTCAGTTCAAGCTTCTCTGCCAATCCTGAACCCTTAAATACTCAAAGATGTCAGGTCAGACACCACTTTACAGGTGGTGCAAACCCAGTGTTCTCATTTTTAACTCATAAATTGCTCCTCCTGAGCCCCTGGTTCCCTTTCTACTTCTTCATTGAACCCTCAGGAGTTCGTGATGCAACGATACACCCAGCTGAAAGAATTTTCTACAGACAATCTTTTACTGCATTCCTGCAGAGACCTCCAACCTAGAACAGATTCTAATGGATGATGGAAGAATCTCACCATGGAAATGATGGAAACATAATCAGTAGAATCATTAAAATATCAGATCAGTCAGCCTTTAAGAAGAAATATTAGGAAGTCTTCAAGCACTGGGACAGGCTGCCCAGAGAGGTGGTGGAGTCACCATCCCTGGAAGTGTTCAAAAAACGGGTAGATGTGGCACTTTGGAACATGGTTTATTGGGCATGGTGGTGTTGGGTTGATTGGTTGTACTGATGATCTTAGAGATCCTTTCCAACCTTAATGATTCCTAGTTTTTACTTTCATTAAAAAATAATCCAGTCACAAAGCCAGGAAACATGAAATTACTACTCTACCCTTAGTTTATTGGTGGACTTGGTAGTGTTAGGTTAATGGTTGGACTGGACGATCTTAAAGGTCTTTTCCAACCTAAATGATTCTATGATTCTATGATTCTAAGTCATCCACAGAGGTCTTTAAGGAGATGTATCTAAGTGTGACGCTCAGACTGATTGTCTCATCATCTAATACATTGTTTAACACTCTGTGATTATAGGTACACCTATGGCAAACCTGTTCCTGGTTTGGTGACTGTCCAAGTGTGCCGGAAATTTTCCCATTCTGCTTCAAATTGTTACGGAAAAGAAGCAGAAGCTGTGTGTGAAGAATTCACTAGGCAGGTGAGTCCCAAGATTAAAACGTAGGGGTCTTTCTTATGGGTAATAGGCAGTATTGTCTAAAGGAGGCCAAATCTGTGACTGTTGGGAGATAGAAGGACATGAGAGATAGCACTCTGTCCAGGGTAAAGAAGATGTTCTCAGACGTAGGCATTCTTTAAGAGGTGGGTCATTAAACTGGAAACAGAACTGACGAAGAAAACCCCTCAGCTGAAATCCTGACCCCGTTGAAACTAGTGACGCATTTCCAGTTAGCAGCTGTGAGGTCCCTGCTATTGATCCCCAAACTGAGAAAAGAATCTGTGAAGGAGTTTTGTAACTGGAGTGGGGTGTGGGGGGACTGGTAGGGAGCAAAGAGCAAAGAAGATGAGGAGAAAACAAGAAAGTGGTATTGTATATGGGTCAAACCCAGGAGAGAGGAGAAAGGGCAACAAGGAGAAGAGTGAAGACAGCAGAAGAAACAGGAAAAAAACCCAGAACTAAAGTAGGAGGGATTTAACAAGGAAATCAGTGTGTGCCTTGGAGAACTGAGTGTCAAGTACCTCACAGAACACAGAAAATGTGTGGATGAAACACTAGGAAACAGGCTGTTAACAAGCTCTGTTCTTGGAGACAACCCTAGAACATAAGGCTTGGATTTCATTACAGAAGCATGTTGGGTTTGAGGTATCTATCACTGTCCCACAAGGCACCAATTTTTTTCACAGAATTCCAATTTTCTCTCCAATTCCCTGCTTAGGCAGACGCTCGTGGGTGTGTTTCTGATATAGTAAAGACCAAGATATTTCAGCTCCAGCG